AAAAGGGAAAAAGGGTACCACTGGGGTACCTAGAACTCCTACGTACAATAAGCCCTCAACCTTAAACCCTAAACCCTAGAACTCCTACGTCCAATAACCCCTAACCCTAAACCCTACTCCCTCACCTCCCCGACTTTCCTGTGGCTGTTCAATCCAAGGTAATCCGGAATTACATGGTTTAGGGTTTAGGGTAAGCCTAAACCCTAAGCCTGAACCCTTAATCAGGGTTTTCAGGGCTTAGGGATGAATATGTGAGATGGGATGCTCAGGGTTTCGTCATCAGTGAATATGCCATACTAGCTAGTAGAGAATAAAGGAATGGAAAAACATGGAACCTACTATACAAATGGGGGTTATATAGGAACTATTGTTAAATTAGGGCTTGTAGTGGAATCTGCTATAAAAATGAGCGGCTATGTAGGAACTGCGTCAAGAAACTCCCAAGAAGTAGCCGCTTAAGTAGCCCAGACTTTTCGCTCGCTGCAGCCAGCTCAAGTTAGCGCCCGCTCAGCTTGTCGTAGATCTGCCGCGGGAGGCTCAACAGCGCATTGGTGTCGTAGTTCTCGTCATCCTCCAGGCGTGAGGGTTTAGGATTTAGGGATTAAGGTTTAGGGATTAGGATTTAGGGATTGGGATTTAGGGATTAAGGTTTAGGGGGTAGAATTTAGGGATTAGGATTTACAGGTTAGGGTTTAGGGATTAGGGTTTAGGGATTAGGATTTTGGGATTAGGGTTTATGGTCTAGGCTTTAAGGATTAGGGGTCTAGGGATTAGAGCTAAGGTATAAGGGTTTCAGGGTTATAAGGGTGTAGGGTCCCAACACTTCCCAGCGGCTCAAAGAGTCGAGGGTTCAGGGCCTAGGTTTTAGGGGTATCAGAACCCCTTTACCACACAGACATTACAAAGCCAAAAGGGGAAGCCCCAGGATTTGGGGTTCAGGTTTAGGGTTTAGGGTATAACATCCCTCTAGTATCCCTATCTATAATCCCATAGAATATGGGGTATATGGGGGATCGTATTATAACATTCCCAAAGCCATATTCTCTCTACTTAAGGGGGACTATACCCCTATAAATGTCCTATAACCCCTGTGAGGTAACTACATCAGAGCCGATGGGTTGAAATTGGGAAAGCAAGTGTGTAGATGTGCGCATGTATTTGGTCACTCTATGTTCTTCGAAGAGTCTGGCATGATCTATGCACAGGACAAGCCAAGAACAAGCAGCCAACATAAGAAATCCAACATTTTCGCCCGCATGAATCTATGCAGCCATTAATTGCCTGCCAATTTAATTGTTTCGCGAAGGAGCACTCCGCGAGGCGAGTGCCGAAGTCTAGGCCAAATGGTTTAGTGTTTAGGGTTCAAGTCTTAAACATTAAAAAGGCCCTGTAGAGATAGGCATCTTTGAAAAAACGGCCTTTGATGGACTTAAGGGTTCAGGGTGCAGGGTTATAATTTAGGCTCAGGGCTTCGAGGCTTAGGCTTTCATATTAGTGTAGTGGACCCCAAACTTGGGTCAATCCCCCAGCCAGCAATGGGTACCACAGGAAGGTAGATTATTAAGGAGCCACTTCTATACGGGGGATTGACCTAACCCCAAACCATGAACCTCACATATCCTTCTGCACCTCCTTATAGATAAACCTGCTTGGGCTTCATGTCGGCTGTAGTCTACACTCCGAGTATCCGCCTTAATAAGCGGTAAAGTAGTCCACAATATCATCCCATACATAGCACCCTTTAAGAAAATTAATCTAGACTAAAGCTCACACATCCTTCTACAATGGTTCCTGGATTGTACCCCTAAGGTCGTACCCCTCAGGGTTTCCCCAACATAGCCTAATCTAGCCCGTAGAAGAGCCCATGTAGTCCCCTAGGGTCCTTTAAAAGGATCCCAAGACCCAGGGGTACAAGCCTGAAACCCTTGATAACCTAAACCCTAAACTCTCAACCCTTCAGTTGAGGCTGGCAGCTTCATGAGCCCATCATAAAACTCTAAACCCTAAATGTCCAAACCCTAAAACCTATGTTCCCTGATCCCTACACCCTCATCACCCCTGAACCCCTGAAACACCCTAGTCCCTAGACCCTAGTCAACCTCTAAACCCCTAAAACCGATAGGGTTTAGGGCTTGGGTTTAAGGTTTAGGGTTACTCCAATTCCTAAACCCAAGGTCCTAACCCCTGAATAGGAGTTTGCATGTTCTTTTCCACTATCCTTACATTACCCCATATTATGCCAGCACCCTTAACCGTGTTCCTTCCGGCGGCCAGGGTATCTCCCAAAACCCCAATCTCCTAATATAACCCCAATATAACCCCAACCTAACCTTAACATAACCTAATATAACCCTAACATAACCCCAATATAACACTAATATAACCCGAATCTAACCCCAATATAACCTCAATATAATATAATCCTAAACCCTGAACCCTAATATAACCCCAATGGGTGTGTCCTTCCGGGGGCCAGGGTTTCTGGAGGAGATCCACACGCCATCATCGGAATCGAGGCGGAGCCCGGCATCTAAGGGAAGCCTTAGCAAGGGGTTTAGGGTTTAGAGTTTAGGGTTTAGGGGTTTTGGGGTTTAGGGTTTAGGTTTAGGGTTTAGGGTTTAGGGGTTTAGGGTTTAGGGTTTACGACTAGCTAGAGCTGGAAGCTAGCAAGGCCGTTTTCATCACCACATGTGTTTGGCATCACCCCACCCTCCCAGAATCCCTTTTAATTTAACACTTTCACCTGCTTTTCTTCCTTCGCTCCCCACCTGCTCATGTCCCCTCAGTCCCACATTTATAATTGCTTCAAACATTCAGACGCCC